GGAACCAAATGAATCTTTAACTTACATCGACATGAACATATTAATATAAAAATAAATCCTTTGAAATTTATAAGTCAATTCCAGAAAAAAAAAACTGTTTTTTGAATTTACATATGCTAATAATCATATAATATACCTATTATTAATGGGCGGAAAGAATTAAAGTTTACAAATATTTTAATATTATTTTTAAAAATTTTGCACAACAGAATAAATTAATTGTACATTTAAAATAAAATTCAATTAATTAGTTAATGGGATAAAAGCGGCTCTTAGTTTAGTTTTTCATTTTAAATTAGCAAATAAGCATTGAATTAAATTTATGTTAAATCTACTAATTAGTATAAATACATCGTTAAATATCAAATCTAATTTATTATAGAAATTAATTTAAAAGAATTACCTTAAAAATTAACGAAATAATTATAGAATTATAGTAATATTAATCTTTTTATTCCAAATATTTAGTGTTGTAGATAATTAGGTAACATTTATTGTGAAAATGCAATTAAAGCAATTAAGATAATTACTTTCAATGTCGATAGTTTTTCGTAGATCTGGGATCTGAATAACAATTTAATTTATTCTTTTTATTGAAAAACATTATTTATATTCTTTGCGGATATTTTTAGTATCGTATGAATTTGTATATTTATTCATTACTATGGAGAAGTTTAAAAAACATAAAATGGTAATTATCTAATATTTAATCACCATTCGATGATGGTTAAAGATTTTAATGGACGTAAAAGCTTTTTTAATTATGCATGCCAGCTTTTATATATTGTGGTGTTTTTGTAGGATATCTTTGCCAAAGTCTGCAGATTTTAATATTTGATGAATTTAAATGTTCTTCAATTAATCCAAAGAGTTTCTCTGCTAAAGTATCAGCAGAAATTTCTGTAATAGGAATTTCCTCGTCATTTTTTAAGTGAAGATTTAAGTTATTAACAGTTTTATCGATTTCTGAAGATATTGATTTTGACTCAAGATCTGAAAGATCATTCGTTTTACCAGTTTCAATAGATTCAAAGGCTTTTGTTTCCGTTAATGCATTCGTTTCCGATATCTTCCTCTCAAAATCGCTTTCAATAGTTTCCTGCTTTGAAATATCTTTTGAATTTCTCACAAAACATTCGCAAATTATTCGTTCTGCAAAATTATATTCACAAGAATTTATTCGAATATAATTTTCTTCATGTAAACGTATTGATTTTATATTTGAATTTATCATATCGTTACTTCCTTCATCAGGAAAGAGTTTATGGTAATTAGTTTCGCTACTAATTAATTCTTTAATTTCGATATCATCAACTGGAGTAGGATAATTAGATTCTAATACTTCGCTAGATGTAATAGAATCTTCGTTTACATTCGTAATTGATTCTCTATGATGTATTTCTTTAACAGAAGACGGTTCTTCGATTTGCTCAGCTGAATCAACAGTTTCTTTCTCCAAAACAGACTCTACAGACTCTTCTTGTAGTTCATAATTATTTTTATATAGTAGTGTTGATTGATTTTCTAAATTCGGAATATCTAATTTTAAATCATTTTCTGAATTATTGTCGGGTATAGTTTTTATGATTCTTTCTGATTGATGTGGTGTTTCCGCACATACTTCAGACATTTCTTTATCTAAATTAGTATCAATATGTTTGTTTTGTTCATGGGAAGCAGACAAGAGAGACAAATTTAAGTTTTCCGTTAAAGATTCCTCGACTGAAATTTTTTTTGAAGTTTGATTATCTAATTCTTTCGTTATTTTTATATTTTCCTGAACAACTGAATTTTCCTCTTTTTCAGTGATTGATACATCTAATAACCCTTTATTCACCGGATGAATTGTTTGTGCCTGTTTATTCGTTTCAGACTCTAATTTTTTCGATAATTCATCATTCTTCTTCACTTCTAATTCTGGCAAACAAGAATCAACTAAATTTTCTGTTATTTCCGATAATTGTGACGATTCTTCACTTGCTATAGAATTATTAAAAGTTACATTCGAATGATCAGATTTATTAGAAATTTGAGGACATGCTTCTTCTTCATATTTTTTGACACAGATTAATTTCTCTTCAAACATTTGAGGAGTAGAAGAATTTAATTCTTCATTAGAAAGATTATTTATTAAGTTTTCTTTTAATGGTTTAGTATCTTTAACTCGTTTAATTTCAGTATCATTAACAATCTCAAGAGTATTTGTATCTAATAAATTCACATTATTCGAAGACTTCTTAAATATATTTGATTCTTCTTCAACGTATTCTTTCATTAATGACCGACGTGAAAAATTTTCTTCGAAAATAAATGAAAATTCAATAAAATCTTCTGTTTCATTATTTTCTTTAGTTTCACATAATTTAGATTTTTCTTTTTCTTTTTCANTTCTTGTTTATTTTAGTGGACTACCAACATTTGATTTTATTATTATTTTTTTTAATGTTTAAAGTAGGTCTACAGGGAATGTAGAAAATTACGCTTTAATTTTTACATTATAAATACGTACATATTGATTACAGAAATGGTTCTCAACAGATCTGCCACAATATATTACTGTGCTACTAAATTTCAAAATCCATTTAGAAATACTAATTATTTGTTTACTTTTTAATATTATTTTCTTTATACTTTTTATATAATACTTTTTATAATTCTTAATTCAGTAAACGTATTAATCAGGATATTTTTTTCTTTTGCATGAAATTAAAATAAAATATAAAAGCGTTTTTCCTTCAATTTTAACTTCAACTTAAAATAATCTTAGAAATAAAATTAAATTCCTTAATGGTAAAGTAAAAATGTATAATTTTATTTTAATAAAAAATAAAACAACTTAATTTATTTTACTTAATAATTATTCAACAATTAATTCAAAAATTATTTAACCGTTTTAATTTATATGTCCTATATACTGCAGTATATTGATATAATCGCAAGATTGAATTTTTCATAAGTCAGAATTGGATTCGAACTCATTATGTACCGTATGATGATAATTTCTTAATTTAAAGTGATTTGACAATTGAAATACAGTATATGATAATTTACCAAAGATTAAATATCATAATAAATCTTTCAAACAACAATCATTCTTCTAAAACGAAACTGTAGTGGTAATGAATGAAAGTATTTTCGGAATATTTTCTTTAAATGTAAGCAATGAAGTGACGGTCTTCCTAGTTATTTGATTATAAATATACTGATATTTAAAGTATTGCACGCATACTACAAAATGCATATCGTTTCCTAAATCTAGCGTTGAACATAATAACCTAAACGGCTATGAAATGTTAAACCAGTATAGCAGTGTTACAAAAGATTGCATTATCCATACTGTATTGTACATTATTATGCTAATATAAATGAAAGATGCATAGCTCATTTTGATGTCAGCTATTACTTTGTACTTGTGCTCGAGTGTTGTGTTTACGATTAACCTTACATTATGCTCAAGATGTGTTGAGTTGACACAGAGAAAAAGAAATGCATTGAAGTTTTACACATAGATCTAAATATGACTCAAATTACTCAATGACTTAAATTTACAGTGTTAGTCGCAACGTCGAAATACTTAAGACAACATAATTTACTCCATAGTTGGCAGCCATGCATATCCTTCCCAAGGAACGACAAAATTCTACGCCGTTTGAGCCAAAAAAAATCGATTATCTACGTCTTAAAAATTAATGATGCAGTGGAAAGCAACAACAGGAGTCTCGCAAGTCCATGTGTTGTTCTCAACAGGCTATATGAAACAAGAATATTTGCATGTAAGGCCAAACTATTACTAACACAAAAAATAAAGAAGGGAAGATTGACAGTCAACACAATTGGAGTCAACACAAAAGTCAACACAATTGGACAACGGAACAGTGCTAACGTGTTGTATTTTCAGAAAGACGTTTTTCATTGTCGGTGACAAACCTCAACTGGAATATTGCTAAGTGGACGAAAGATATTACTCGGAATGCTTGTTGAGATCCAAAAAGTACACTCCTTCAGTAATAATTTCGGATGTAATCACTTGTAATAGCTTTGGAAGACATTATTTCTTGAATTACACAATGAATTCAAATCAGTATGAAACCGTTGTTAGACATAATGTCGTCAACAAAGCCAGAGATGCATTTGGATTGGAGCCATATATTTTCCAATAAGATTTGGCATCTTGCCACACATGTAGACAGGTAAGTCTATATTTCTGGTTTTATGGGATTCAATACTTTTAAAATAAAAAATGATTATCCGACATTTCGCTCGTTCAGATACAAAGGGTGTTCTCAGAATTGGAAATAAAGTACTGCACTAGATTAGAAATTTATTTGATCTCAACCTCAATTGAAAATGCATAGCGTCTCTTTTCTCTCGAAGTTCAGAAAGAACTGTACGTTCTTCAACAGAACGGAACTGAAAGAGGTAATTGTTCGTGTATTGCACCATAATCGTGATGTTATTCAAAGCCTGATTGAATAACATCACGATTATGGTGCAATACACGAACAATTACCATAGCGAATTCAGTTGTTATTAAAGTTAAAGATGATATCACGAAATATTAATGAATACACTGTATTCATTAATATATTCGGATCCTATTTTCATCAACATTTTGTCTAAATTATTTTCGTTTATTAACTCTTCTTTAAGCATATCTTCAAAACAGGTTCCTACATTCTCAAGCATCGTATTGTGTGTACACAGTATAGTATGTCCGTCATTAATAATAAAATAAATAAACAGAAATTTGCAGCTCTTTTTCTTCTATACTTATCACTACTTACTACTAATACATTATCCCCATTATATATTACACAGCTACGCTATTAACATTTTGCTTATTCGTATGAATTCAGTAGTCGTATAATGCTTTAGAACACTAGTATATATGCATATATTGTGGAATAAATTACTTATTTTGTATTAGCAATTTTAAAAATATAAAAATATTTTACAACTATATTTTATTATAAATCAATATTTTAAANTGTTGTAGATAATTAGGTAACATTTATTGTGAAAATGCAATTAAAGCAATTAAGATAATTACTTTCAATGTCGATAGTTTTTCGTAGATCTGGGATCTGAATAACAATTTAATTTATTCTTTTTATTGAAAAACATTATTTATATTCTTTGCGGATATTTTTAGTATCGTATGAATTTGTATATTTATTCATTACTATGGAGAAGTTTAAAAAACATAAAATGGTAATTATCTAATATTTAATCACCATTCGATGATGGTTAAAGATTTTAATGGACGTAAAAGCTTTTTTAATTATGCATGCCAGCTTTTATATATTGTGGTGTTTTTGTAGGATATCTTTGCCAAAGTCTGCAGATTTTAATATTTGATGAATTTAAATGTTCTTCAATTAATCCAAAGAGTTTCTCTGCTAAAGTATCAGCAGAAATTTCTGTAATAGGAATTTCCTCGTCATTTTTTAAGTGAAGATTTAAGTTATTAACAGTTTTATCGATTTCTGAAGATATTGATTTTGACTCAAGATCTGAAAGATCATTCGTTTTACCAGTTTCAATAGATTCAAAGGCTTTTGTTTCCGTTAATGCATTCGTTTCCGATATCTTCCTCTCAAAATCGCTTTCAATAGTTTCCTGCTTTGAAATATCTTTTGAATTTCTCACAAAACATTCGCAAATTATTCGTTCTGCAAAATTATATTCACAAGAATTTATTCGAATATAATTTTCTTCATGTAAACGTATTGATTTTATATTTGAATTTATCATATCGTTACTTCCTTCATCAGGAAAGAGTTTATGGTAATTAGTTTCGCTACTAATTAATTCTTTAATTTCGATATCATCAACTGGAGTAGGATAATTAGATTCTAATACTTCGCTAGATGTAATAGAATCTTCGTTTACATTCGTAATTGATTCTCTATGATGTATTTCTTTAACAGAAGACGGTTCTTCGATTTGCTCAGCTGAATCAACAGTTTCTTTCTCCAAAACAGACTCTACAGACTCTTCTTGTAGTTCATAATTATTTTTATATAGTAGTGTTGATTGATTTTCTAAATTCGGAATATCTAATTTTAAATCATTTTCTGAATTATTGTCGGGTATAGTTTTTATGATTCTTTCTGATTGATGTGGTGTTTCCGCACATACTTCAGACATTTCTTTATCTAAATTAGTATCAATATGTTTGTTTTGTTCATGGGAAGCAGACAAGAGAGACAAATTTAAGTTTTCCGTTAAAGATTCCTCGACTGAAATTTTTTCTGAAGTTTGATTATCTAATTCTTTCGTTATTTTTATATTTTCCTGAACAACTGAATTTTCCTCTTTTTCAGTGATTGATACATCTAATAACCCTTTATTCACCGGATGAATTGTTTGTGCCTGTTTATTCGTTTCAGACTCTAATTTTTTCGATAATTCATCATTCTTCTTCACTTCTAATTCTGGCAAACAAGAATCAACTAAATTTTCTGTTATTTCCGATAATTGTGACGATTCTTCACTTGCTATAGAATTATTAAAAGTTACATTCGAATGATCAGATTTATTAGAAATTTGAGGACATGCTTCTTCTTCATATTTTTTGACACAGATTAATTTCTCTTCAAACATTTGAGGAGTAGAAGAATTTAATTCTTCATTAGAAAGATTATTTATTAAGTTTTCTTTTAATGGTTTAGTATCTTTAACTCGTTTAATTTCAGTATCATTAACAATCTCAAGAGTATTTGTATCTAATAAATTCACATTATTCGAAGACTTCTTAAATATATTTGATTCTTCTTCAACGTATTCTTTCATTAATGACCGACGTGAAAAATTTTCTTCGAAAATAAATGAAAATTCAATAAAATCTTCTGTTTCATTATTTTCTTTAGTTTCACATAATTTAGATTTTTCTTTTTCTTTTTCATTATTAATTTTATATTCATTATCTATAACAGAAATAATAGTATTATTACATTCGTCTGACGTTTCCAATATTTCTTTATTTTCCTGAAGAATTACTTCGACTTTATTATCAAACGGCAAAATTTCTGATATTTCTTCATTTGTTTTATCAGTTTTAATGTAATTCGATGCTGCAGCTGAAGTTTTTATAGAATCATCAATTTTAATTACAGATTCATCTGTTATATTACACTCTTGCAATCCTGTATCATCCAAAGTACATTTAACATCACTACAAGTTACAGAATCATGTAATGTATCCTCATTTACCTCTTTGGTTACAGGATTTAATTTTTTTTCATCTGTAGAATCTGACATTATTTTTTTCTTTCTCTAAAAGTATAATTATACAGATATGCTTCGATGATTAAATATTTGTTTTTATCCTTATTATTATTATTAAAATATTTTATAGTCAATATATCATTTTATGTTCTGCTCCATTTTAAAATTCTCTTTATTTTTCTTATTGAGATAAATGTTATCTTCTTGAAAAATGAAGTGATTTTTAAATATTAATATTCTTCTTATTATTATTTCTTTCTTTTTCTCTGATGTAAAATAAAATAATTAATAATTAATTAAAAACTATCGGCTATAAATTTAATTAATATAATTGCACAGCCAAATTTAGATATATGCTAAACAAGCTATAGCTTAATTACATTTCACCTTAGGGCTATGCAGATATGATAATTTTTTCTCTTGAGGTTGGCGATCCTAAACACCAGTAACCTATTGTTTGAGTAAAAGGACGCCAATGAGAGATTGTAATGGCGTGATGTCGCATTCGATACGGAGCTATAGTGTTTGTTTATCTTAATTTTCTGTATTCACACGGATATATAAAAGAAAATGAAGATCACGGACCTATCAAAGAGTGGAGAGTACACGAAAAAATGGACTCCAATTAAAACTACTGACAATTTCGAGTTAACGAGACTGTATGTTATGGAAAACCCTATACTTATACTGTAGCTGGGACAGATAGACAGCTTCGAGTTAACGCAATTCAACTTACGGAGATTTTACTATAATTTTTACATAAAATCACTACAAAAGAAGATATATTATATGTGTTTTAAAAAAATTTATTAAATAATTTTTACAGAGCAAAAAATAATTATTAGAATGGAGTTTGTCTTCAAATTTATAAAAAATAAATGCTTCAAATGCACGGAAACAAATAACAATTCGTATTTACATAAAATAACAATTCGTATTTAAATAACATTTAAATATGTTAGTTTTCTTAATCCATCTCTGCTAAACTTTTTAACAAAATTAATTCTTTAGAAAATTCATTATTTAAATTACTTTTACGAAAAATTAATTTTTTCTTTGCAATTCTAACAGTCCATCTTCCATGATGCATGAATTATACACAAGATTCCGAAAGATAATTCAACAGGAAATATTTTTATGTAAGTTTTCATTTCCGAATTTTTGAAAAACATCATTTAATACTCGAAAGCTGTAGACTGGAACATTTTCATAAAAAAATAATTATGTCTGTCTTTCTAACAAGAAATAATATAATGTCTACGTGCTTCAAAAGTTCAATAATGCTATTTTACTTATTATTATATTAATGAATATATAATATTTTACAGTAAATTTGATTAATATTAATATATAAAAATATTGTAAAATCCTATTTATAACCTAAAATTTTTTACAATTTACGAATAAGTTTAAAAATTAATCTTTTATAAATCAGTTCATCGAACTGTACTGTACTGTAGAAACAGTATACCGGTATATACGTTGCATAACAATAATGTCATATCAAAACATTCAAATAGTAAATAATTTCAGCATTTAATGAAATTGTAACAGATGTTAAGAAATTCTTTATTTCTATGTCAGCTATAATATATATTTTATATAATATATTTTTCTGTAATAATAATGTATAAAAAACAGGCGCCAAGTACAGGTCAAGGTTTAATGCAGAAACTTATCTAAATCTGAGTATAAAATTAATCGATATATCGCGGAAATAATTTTATTACTTGGACGTGAGATTTCAGAGATACATAGTTTAAAATAATTAAATGCTAATGTCACGTTACTGAATGCTCATAACAAGATTACATGAAGTGATTCTAATACATCGATTAATACTAAAATAAGTAACCGTTTTTTTGCATTAAGCCTTGACTTGCTCCTTTTCCCCCCTCTATATTTCAGATTTTTCTTTTAAGATATAATATTAATTTTAAAAACATCAAAATCGTTGCTTTTTTCACATTTGTCTAGTTTTTTCCTTCCTTTTTAAATTAGATTTATTCACATCTAATTAGTATCGCTTTCATTTTAAAATTACTGTACTGCATTTGTATTTTTCCAGTATTTATTTTTATTTTTATATTAAGATTTAGTTATCTAAATAGAAATATAGAAATTATAATTGAATTCAAAGTGTATTTTCAATTATTACTTTATTAATTTTTTAAAATTAAATTCTAGTACAAAAATAGTATTTAAAGATACGAAGTTTTTTATAGACCTGAATTTGAAATATTTTTTTTTCACGCGATGAAAGTATTAAAAGTTTTTAAATATAAAATCCTTATTTATCTATTCTATATAAAATAAACAGCATGTTTATCTTTCAATTTAAATTTTAAATCTTTAAACTAAAATAATTGTGTCAGGAAACAAAATGGAAACAAAAAATAAGAAATAAATATCTATTATTAATATCACATAACAAATTATTTATCTAATAAGCCCAAAATATTAGTAGATAAAACCAAAACGACATTCGATAAATAAACGAAACGTTTCTCAGGTAAACGAAATACAAGTATGTAGGCGATTTATTCGATTTATCCGCGATTTTATTTATTTGAAAGCTAGAAATAAATGAGTAAAAACAAAAGTAACATAGATTTTACTTTCTGTAAAATAAATTTTGTAAACTTATCTCTTATTACACCGAACGATGAAACGAAAATAGATCGTCGTTTTATCACTTGGGTAGAACTTCGTAGCAGAGATGCAAACCAAAAAAGTAGGCGATAGTTCGGGTTTGGTTCATATTTATGTTTAGATTTTGTCCACAGTTTGGAATATGGTTTCTGAGCATGGGTGTCTATTGAAATTTTCCAGAGAGTAAATCTTTGAGACAAATATATCAATAAATTTGTATTTAATTTCTTAGTGGTTGTTTTTCTCAGAAGTATGGTATTGTATTCTATGATCGAGGACGTATAATTGCATATCTCAATCACTTGTATGATTATAATTTCTGGAAGTATTTTATTCTTACCTCGTTTGCCTTTTCTACGGATGTCCAAGTTTCTGAAGTTTTCATATAACAGTTTTATTAATTAAACGATACAACCGGATTCTTATTGGGTTACCATAAGGCTAATAAATTAATAATTAGCCTAATTATCCAATAAAATAATCTTCCACATAGAAATTTATTGGATAAACGTGATAATATTGAGGACAATTGGCATAGAATTATTTTGTTTATTTAAGTTTTAAATAAAAATAATACTTTTCAAAGAAATAAGTGTAATATGTATGAACATGCAATATCATTATAAATGAAATAATAACAGACATTATGTATATATACATTTTAACTTTTAAATATACGAACTAAAACCATTGCAATATATTTTTTCCTAGTTTTAGTCTTATTTTCATCTTTATAGGTTTGTTATTTGTTTGTTAATTCTGGGGATTAGCTATCATTGTTGTTATGACATCGCTGTATTTTCTTGTAAATAAATAAATATATAATTACATATACTGTACAATCAACTCAATAAACATTACTAATCAAACGGTAACCGGATTCGTATCCAGCTACAATAAGGCTAATTAGCCAAATTGTTGCAGTTTATTTAATAAACTGTAAATATTTTAAAAAATTGTCTTTACAGCTAATTGGAAAAAATTAATCGAACTAAAACTACCTCGTTTAAAAATGAGTTTGGTTTTGTTCGATTTTAGTTTTAGATTTGGCATTAAACTAGCGAACTAGTTCGCTAGTTTAATGGTCCTGTTTTTATCACTTGGTAGATTTCGAGAACATTGCTTTCCTTTTTCATGATGAACTCAGAATATTTTCTTCCAATTAATGGATAGACTCGAAAATTAAATATTTTTGTAAATAGTCAGAACTTCTAATTTGAAGAATTCTAATTGTTTTCCTTGTTGAACCGCGGATCAAAGTCCCAGGTTTTACTCGTAGAACCGCCAAACTTCTCTCGCTACATCTTGCTAGTTCTACTTTTATTTAATCATCCTGTATAAAGCCCGCCAGTGGCCTAGTGGACAGAAACCACCAAACAGTGATTGTTGTTCCAGGTTCATGTCTAATTAATGAGCTGTCCGCGTGGAGTTTTCTTGGTTTTCTTCAAGTGTTTGAAAACTGAATAGGGACCATAGAAAAGTCTCATCTTGGCAGATCGCCTTCTTCTTATTTTGCTTTAATCAAAACAAACATTCTGTGTAATTAGAATTTCTTAAGTTTTTATTCAATGATATTCTGAAGTTGTTAAAAAACAACCACTTGAGAGAGGACATTTTAGATGATAATATCCAAAACAATGTAAAAAGTAAAAATTTAGAGAAACATTAAATGTATAAATTCGTTATTTTTTTATTTTCGGAACTTTTAATACTTTTCTTTTCCGATGTTCATAAATCTTCGTATTAATTAAATGTTTTATGTAAAAAATTGTGTATTAAATTTATTACAATTTATTTCAACGAAACTAGAAATATTCTGACTAGTTTGCTGTACTGTACTTTGTACTGCAACGTCTTAATCTGTTAAATGAAAGAAGGATATACAAGAAGAGCAGAATTACTATTCAAATGAAATGTTAAATAAGATATTATATTGTTGAAAGCAAAAGTTATTAAGTATAAAAATTAAGGGAAAAATAACAATACAATACTTGTAGGCCTATATAGATTTAAAACACATGATTTGTTTTCATCCAGTGAGAAAATGCCATAGTTTATTTTAAATATTTACACAGGCTTACTTTTAAAATAACTGAAAACAGAAATAGAATATAAAATATGAATTATCTCAAAAATTTAGAAGTAAGTAAAAAGCATTTACTTCTAATTGATAAATGTCGTCTTTTTCCCTGAAAAGTTAAAAATTGTGAAAAAGTTTCTAATTTGATAATTTATATTTCCAAAAAATAAAAGTTGTCTAATTTCACACTTTTCAAATATTAATATCTCGAATCCTTAAAATGTAATTTTAGTACTTCACCTTAGAACTAAAATAATATAAAAGTGAAGTAATATCATGAAGTAAACACTAGAATTTTAAGTATAAAAATTATATTTGCTTTCGATTTAAAAAGGAA